CTAAAATGTATAAGGAAATATTACTAGATCATTATTAATGCATAGATAACTGCGGGACATTACACACCCACACACAAACTATGACAGTGCCAGGAAAACACCAAAAAATAAGAATTCCCCCCCCCCCCAAAAGACTGCAAATGAAACCAGTTTCTTTCCTAAGCCTAAGGACAGGAAAGACAGTCACTGGAATAAAAACCATCAAGGCATTGTGAAAAATTATAAAGGACAGGCACTCACAGAACCATCAACCACCTCAGAATTACCTAAACAACGAGGGTGAAACAGACTAAATCTGGCAAAGCTGCCTTGCACCAACCTGGCCTGCCCACAGAGCATGCACAAGGATGGGAAATGGCTGTCAAGCTTCATCGCTTAGGCTTGTGAAAACAAAACGAACAAAGCTTATGGGACTAAGACCTCGGACATTGTGAAAAAAGGGTTCCTGCAAGAGACCAACTTTGAGACGATCCAGGGAGGCAACTACCTGCGGGTCACCGCTTTCAGGTGGCTCCCGGACGGTGTTGCCGCCCTCGGTGGCTCCTGCACTGCTCGGCGACAGCGTTACATGGACGGCGATGATCTCGGCCCCGCTGCCATGGGGAGCCATTGGACTTGTGCCGGGCTGTGCCGGCGCGGCGGTCTGTGCTTCGTTCCTTGGAGCGGGTGGTGAGTTCTACAACAATGTGTGTCGGGACTGGGCGGCTGGTTTTCTCTGCCACCGCCGCAGCTCTCCTAGGCACCCCCCTCCTTCTTTCTCGGTGTGGCCTTCTTCTGCCCTGCCGTCGCCGCTGCGGGGCTCCTCATTGCCCGACACTTTGCCTGCTTTGATCTCGGCTCCTGGGTCTTTGCGCGGCCTCTTGCTGCGGCCGCCGTCATCTGCTGCTGCCCCAGGAGTGCTGCCTCAGACAGCACCATTCTTTGGACCATCTTACTTTCGGTGCTGCTAGTCCGGGTAGGCGGTTCCCCTGGGGATTGGGTGAATACCTCCCTCAGTGGCCGCCATTTCTTGTCCCGGCTGGAGCCTTTTTCACCTTTTTTCCTCCTTTTTATCCTTCGAACAATTACCACCGCTGCAGCGATTATGAAGACCTCTTGGCGTGTTGGCAGCATCTGCGGCTTGTTTCTTGTTACATGCCCTTGACGAAAGGAGACGACGGAAAATGGTGAAGAAACGGGCAGGGATTTAGCGCCCCCTCCAACTAGCGCCCACCGCCCTCTTTTTAGTCGCTTCAGCCATCCCAGACTCTGGACCTTCTGGACCCTTTTTTGCACCTTTCCGGAGTTGCAGGAGGGAAGAGAGAACAAGGAACTCTCCCTCCTGCACCATTATTAGTTTCTAGCTTTACGAACTTGCGCGAACCGCTTGGGCAGAACTAAGATCTGCGTTAATCCTGTGGTGGAGTGTGTGTTGTATGAATGAAGATGAATGAACCCACTTTTAAATTAACCAATTTTATATTATTGTATTATTGTATTTTGTATGTTTTAATGATAACAGTGGGGTATGTATGAGTGATGCACAGGTAAACCCACCCTTGGTTGACCAGGTTAGGTGATTCTAACAGACTAAATATTATAACCTTATAATATTATAATTATTATAAGCTTAATACCAAAATCAAAGCTTTTGGGTTACTGGCCTGAAACTTCCTTTTTTTCTCCTATTACAAATATTAAGGGAACATAACGCAAGCTTTGCACAAGAGTGGAACAGGAAGTATGATGGCTGTGAGGAACAACCAAAAATAATCATGACAGCATCTTGCGTGCTTTATGTCAGCAATATTTTAGCATTCAATCAGCGATATTTTAGCAATATTTTAGCAATATT